GGAGAAGCTCTGCCCAGACCCTCAACCCTGCCGATCTCCTTCCTGCTTTGGATTGCTACATAAAGAGAGCCAAACAGTGTCTGGCTTCTTTCACTTGCTACTGTTCGTAGTTTGTCCATTCTACAGTCCGTAGCTGTCCTGCCCTCACTCTTGTGGCTGGATTCGGTCATGCGACATTACTACAAATTACTCTCCCTTGGGTGGGCAGGAAAATGAAGATGATCATGGGTAGATCACACACTGTACCCTGAGTTGGCTCTTAATAAATCCTTAAATGCCTGAGTTCATGGAATGTCAATGTTATTTTTCTAAACTTTTCATCTTGACTCAAACGTAGTCTTTGGAAACTGTGTCTGGCAGCTGGTATCATTTTAAACACTGAAGTCTATTGTTTGTTTGTTTGTTTGTTTTTTGAGACAGAGTTTCTTTGTGTGGCTCTGGCTGTCCTGGAACTCTAGAGGCTGACTTTGAACTGATGGAGATCTACCTGTCTCTGCACCCCTGAGTGCTGGGATTAAAGGCGTATGTCACTACCACCTGGCTTGAATCCTATTTTTGTAACCAAAGATTTTTCAGTCCTGTGGACCAGCAAAGCAAAAACAACAACAAAAACAAAACAAACAAAAAACAAATAGAAAAACGTGTTTTTCTTCACTCTCTTGTGCAAGTAAACACTCAACATTTGTGCACAGCATTTATTGAGACTTCACTGTGTATCAGGAGCTGTACTCAACACTTCCTGGGTATCATCAGTGGGGGTTCCTGACAAAGGCCCTGGAAAATAGCTTTGTTTTTCATTCACTGTTTATGCATTGTCCTAAATCCTTAGGTTTCACTTTATAAACCCTTTGCAGCCATTAATATCCCCTCTTCCCAAAAGCCCTCCAGGGCTAATCCAATTCACACTAATTTTCCTCCCTTCTCTGGACTCAAGACCAAAGTATATGAAACAAAATGGAAAAAAAAAATGTGACATAAGACAAAGCCATCTGGATAGAATACCAAGCTCAGCACTGCAAATGGAGAAAAGATTAAAGGATAAAAGTCACAAATGTCATACAAGTATAAAGTGAACACATGTCTAAAATTTTTATTTAACTTATTAGCAAAAGAATCATTAAAGATGTATACATTGTTCTTTCTCATATGCAGAACCCAGATTTAAATAGATATGAAGCCAGGTGTGGTGGCATATACCTGCAACTCCAGCAGGGAGGTGGAGGTAGGAGGATCAAGGGTTCAAGGTCAGAGGCTGGAGAGATGGCTCAGCAGTTGATAGCACTGGCTGTTCTTCCAGACAACCTGGGTTCAATTCCCAGAACCCACAGGAAGACTCATAACCATCTCTAATTTCAGTCCTAGGGGATCTGATGCCCACATACATGGACTTATATGCAAGCCAAACATTCACACATGTAAAAAATTTTTAAATTAATTCAAGGTCATACTTGAATACATACCAAGTTCCAGGCCAGAATAGGCTAGCTACATGAAATACCATCAAAAAGAAAGAGGGAGTGGAAAGACACCTCAGGGGTTAAGAGTTCTTGCTGTTCTTTCAGAGAACCCAAGTTTGGTTCCCAACACCTAGGTCAAGTAGCTCACAACTGCTTGTAACTCCAGGTCCAGGGAGTCTTAATGCCCTCTTCTGTCTCTCCTACAGCACCTGCATACGGGTGGCATACACAAATACGCAAAAATATTTTTTAAATAAAATCATTTTTCTTCAAAGGAAGGAAGGAAAAATGAGAGGAAGGAAGGGGAACTATGTGGGGTCAGTGGGAGAGATAAGGGAGATAGGGAAGGTGATGAGTGTAGGTATGAGCAAAGTATAATGACACACATATGAAATTGTCATAATGAAACTAATTGTCATGATTACTCTATTTTGTTTTATTTTCAAATGATGTTATGCCCTATTCTTATGGAAACTCCAAAGACTGGGTATTCATGGACAGCTGTTGCCCATCCCCCACAGAGCTCATAGATAACTCAGTGGGCATGAAAAGTTTACATCACTGCCCATTTACTAGAACTTATAGATAATACAATGGCTCAGAATCTGTGGCAGGAACAAAGAACAATATTCAATTTAGAGGACACCTGGCCTTTTTTTTTTTTTTTTTTTTTTTTTTTTTTTTTTGCCTGCCTAGTTTTTAAAATCTCTCATTCTTTCCTACTCAGTGGTGCATCACTGGAGAGCTGCTAACCCTTGAGGGCCTTGATCTCTCCATCTGTGAAGTGGGGTGGTTATGTAGACAAAAATGCCCAAGGTCTCAGCACACAGGGAGCTATCCCCAAGGAGATGGATGTTGCCATATTGCCTGAGTTTTCCCATTCTGTGTCAGCTGTCACCTCTGTGTTTGTGACTTGAGGAAGGACTGAGCCTTGTCCCCACCACCTCCCACTGGCCATGAGCCAAGGTATCTTGCTTCATCAGCCTCTAATGTCAGTAGAACAAGTTCCTTGCACTGACAAGATAATGTATATGGAAAGGGGGAAATTCTTCACCAAACTGGTGAGATTCAGTTTCTTTATGGTATAGTTCAAGATTGAAAAAGCATTGTACCATACTTTCTTAAAGAGTCCTTTAGACAGTGCACCAGAAGACTTAAGGGACCCGTTCTTTACAAAGTGAAATTACTTGGGGAAGGCAACAGCTTCCCATTAGTGGTTAAGGTAGCATGAATATACTGTCACTCTAGGGTAAGTCTTGACAGCCAGCCTTTGGGGACTCTCAACAGTTCACTGTCCTGAGAAGTCCTCTTAGTTCAGAGTGGTGATTTATAATGAACAGAAATACATTTGGCTTTTGGCTCTGAAGGCTCAGAAATCCAAGATCAAGGGCCACACTTTGAGAGGGCCTTCGTGCTACATCATAGTATGTGTACAAGTACCCCCTGGGTGAAGAGGATGAGGGAGTAGACCGGCTAAGGAATTCACTCTGAAGATAACCACTCCCTCGATAATGACACTAATCCCTTCATAACATCTGGCTCATCTCTTTGTTAAGAGATCCCCCTTTCAACCTGTTGCACTGGTAATTCTAACACATATACTCTGGGCATATGTTCAAACCCTACCATTACCACATGAATCCCTGAGAGGCTGGCTCCCCTCACCAACCTCCCCACTGAGTCTTGATGAAGCAGATGCCAGATATCTCTGTGCATTCCTGATATCCACGAAATATACACCCACTGGTATAAAGGATATTCATAGACATCAGGATGTCCACTGCAATGTTGTCTACAGGTAGAAAAGGGAAACAAACTAGATGTGCAGCAATAGGGAAGCAATAAAATAAAATACAGGGCAAATACAGTGCTAGGCAGCACTTCAAACTGTGACACAGACGAGGAAAGAGGCCACACTCAGCAAGCTCACTCTATTTAAGGGTATATGCAGAATTATACAACTTTTTTAAAGAGAAAGAAAATGCAGTATTAAAAATTAGTGGTTTTATTTTCTCCTTTTTGGTGTTTTGCTTATGTGCTGCTCTAATATGTATTTGTGGATGGGTACAGAGATGGCAGACATGTGGTCTCAATCCAACTCCTTAAAGCAAGACTCAGCCTCACCAACTCAACTTGAAACTACTTTTAGATCTGAGGCACAGATATGTCAGACCAGAGGTACTCAAATGAGAGGGTGGGGTGTATAAACCAATGAATTATTTAAGGCTGTGTCCCTCCCACTCAAAGTGAGCCACACCCACATCCCATACCCCTAAAACATGCATACTCAGGATTGCCCAAGAGTGACTATTTAACAACTGCTATGGACCAACTGATGTCTGCTCAGAAAGCATGGTCATTCTGTGTGCAGTGGCCAGAGCTGTGGCCTAGGAGTCAGCCTCCAGTCCTGGCTCCCTGGTTTGGTTCTCTCCCCTCTTTTCCTGGTCTTTCATTTGTTCATCCACAAAATAAATAAATGTTTGGATTTGGACAAAGGGCCCACCTAGGCCTTTTCTTAGGATCCTCATTCTAATCACATTTCTCGGCTCCCCCTACCATGACGACCCCAATGAGCTGAAATGAACCCCTTTAGGTATGGGAAGGGACCAAGGGACCAGTCAAGGAGGCAGAGTCCCAAATGAAAAGCTGCCCAAGGAGGTAGGGAGGGGGAATCTAATCCTGACTCCCCACATGGAGGCAGGAGCCATGGTGCCTAAGGGAGCTGGGGTAAAAGTCATCTGTTTTCTCCTGGAGGCTGCTCTGTCCCCACCTCCCAGTTGGGGCTTGCAGCTGCCTCACTTCTCTTCCACAAGGTCCCCAGGGCTCCTCTGCTTCCCCAAGGTTTTATCATCAACATGTTCAGCTCTTTGTCATCATGTTTTATTTTTGAGAACACTTTCCAGGCAGTGACAGGCATCCTTGTTTCTCTAAACCTCAGCTTACTCACCAATAAAATGTGTCTTTGGAGAGGGTCAGCAAAGCCTCAATTCATGGATTCACTGGTCAGATTTACCAAGTGCCACCCTGTGTAGACTTCCCACAGGCCCACCCAGACATAGCAACCCTTGCAGAGCTCTCCCAGGTGAATAAATATTCAAAATTATTCTACCAGTAACTGTATAGCACACCAATATATTTAAATGTGCAATAAACAGGGACCTTGTGGTAATGATGAAAAAGAATGGGATGGGATAGGATGGGATATGCCTGATGCTCCTAAAGTGGGGTGAATGCAGAGGAGTAGCTTGAACCCAGGCCCCTCCCCTGAGCCAAGGATCTTCTAAGGCAGGCTTTCATCTGCCAAGACTTAAGCTACAAGACAGAGGGCACTGAGTGGGCAAGGAATGGAGAAAATAGGCCTGCTGGTAGCTCAGATTGGAGGCCTCGTCCAAGACTACATGAAGGGAATTCTAGCAGCTGGGAACCAGAAGCCCTGACAGGTTCCTCTGCCCATCTCAAAGGCCAGCAGGCTGTGTCCCCCCGGCCACCACCACTCTATGCTCTCATCTCTGTCCAACCAGTCTGGATGTCCTTCCCTGATATATGGTTGGTCCACCCTTCTCTGCACGTGTCAATCTGTCCACCCTTCACAGGTCTGCCAGGCACATCGGCTTCCCTGCATCCCTGGGCCTCCTCGCCGCCCTGCCCCGCCCGCCCGCCGCTGAGTGGGTGTCGGGCTGGCTGTGCGCAGAGGGGCGCGGCTCGGCTCTCCCACCTCCCCCGCGTCCCTATCTCAGCAATGACCCGGGCCACGCCGCCGCCGATCTGAAACCCGGGAGTCGCGCCGCCGCCCAGGAGGACTCAAGAGGTTGACGGTGGCGCAATCGGCGGTGGGGAGACGGGCAGCGAGGCGGGGCTGCGACAGGGCAGGGCAGGGCAGGGCCCGGGAGACCGCCGCCAGCGGCTCGGTTGGAGATCGCGGGCGCAGGTCCGCTCGGCCCGGCCCGCCGGTGCGCCCCGCCCCTACACGCACAGCAGGCCCAGGCGGAGCGGCGCGTCGTCCCAACCCAGCCCGAGCGCCGCGGCATCCGAGCAAGAGCCGGAGCCCGAGCGGGACCCGAGCTGGAGCCGAAGCTGGAGCCGACACTACGGCGCACGGAGCGGAGTGCGGCAGCCAAGCCGAGTAAGGGGCGCGGGGCACGGGGAGGGCCGCGGAGGGGGTCCCGGTGGCTTACGCACGCGGCCAGGGACGCGCTGGGCGGCGGGGGACGCGGTCCGGAGCGGAACCTCAGCGCGCGCAGAACTGAGCGGCTTCCCGGGACTCCTGCGGTTCCTGCTCCAGCATCCCCAAGAGGCAAGGAACCCGGGCTCTTCCTCCTGCCTGAGTCTTCCAGTGGTGGAAGCCCAAAACAGGGTCCCCAGCCCCGTGCCCTGGGTTTGGAGGGTTGCGGACTAGCCCACTCAGGAAGACTCTAGGGCGCACTCTTGTCTGGGGTGGGAGAGGAGAAAGACTGAGGTTCTGTGGAGTTTGAGTCTGAACCTTCTCCCACCACCTTAAGCCAGGACGTTTGACGCTCCAACGCGCGGGTCTCCTGGACCATGCCCCTGATATTGTAGCACTTAGAACAGAAGGACCTTCCTCGCCTTCCCTCACCCCACTCCCACCCCCACCCCCCGGGTAAAGCAGACTTTCCCATGTGCATCTCTTGAGAAGGACCCGAAGCTGAATCAGAGGTGGCGGTTCGGCTGACTGAGCAGCGCTGAGTGGCACTGCCACCTCTCTCCAGGTTCCTTCCCAAGGTGGGCAATGCCCACTCTGCTCCAGCTGACTCCCGCACGCACCCCTTCCTGGTTGTCTTTTGGGCTCTGCAGACCGGGAACAGGCGGTTACTGTCGACTCTGGTCCTCAGTCACTCCAGTGCCAGCATAGGCAGCCAAACCCAGGGTAGGAAGGGAACCTAAGTGACATACATACCAGAGAAGCAGTGGCTACAAGAGTCTTGACTCACTGAGTCTAAGTGCACCGGAAGGCCAACAGAGGGTCCTTTAGGTTCTCAATTATAGGACTGCATACTAGAAGCACTGACTTCACCACCGGGTGCCTCGGTTTCCCTCTTTGAAAAGTAGGCATGATTCTGTTAGTGGACTGTGCAGAAACTGTGGAGCCATAAAACACCTTTGACTGATTCCCTAGCTCTGTGGTCTTAGGCAAAACACTTGACTTCTCTAAGTTTCAGTTTCTCTTGCCTGAAACACCTGGAAGATGAACCCAGATCATTAGCCGATTCTTCTGGGACAACAGACATACATATAGTACTAGACTGTATTTTGCCACAGGTGTCATTTTCTAAGACAAAGTGAGTGTCCCTGATGTGAAGGAGCAAGATGCTGCCCCCTTTTCCACCCTCTAAGACAGATTTTGGCTTCCTTGGTTCTACTGACAACTCGTTGCAAAGCAAGATTTTCCTTTAGCTTCTTTCTCAGGCACTTGCTGGCATTCTCTGTCTTGCCCAGACCCTCTCTCTATGCCTCTGTCCAGGTTGTAAGAAGCTCACAAGGTGTGCTCTTCCCCCTTTCCCTTTGGCTGGTACTTGCTGCCCCAGGCTGAGAAATCCCACATGATCATACTCTGTACAAAGGAATCTTCACACCCCACTCCGTCACTCTGGTTTGGGTGAAGGGAGGATTACCTCCCATGGGATGACTTAGGTGAGCCATGGTGATGGCTCCAACATGTGAAAAGAGAAGCCCAGGAGGTTACCATGAGTCAGAAGGGTACCCTCTGTGATGATTTCTTGCTCACTGTGGTGTGTCTGTCAGGGCCAGTAGCTCACAGGATCATGAAAAACCTAACAAAGGAACTGGAGCTGGTGACAGACAGCATGGTTTGAACTTAAGAGCTGCCCTGTTTCCTGGAAAGGATCTCCCTGAGTCTGGGCAGCTGGGGCCTTGGGCCCAGTGGGCCCAGGGCTTAGGGAAAATTGTGAGCATCTATGGGGAAGGGGGGCATGGAGGGTGTAGAGGACCAGGAGCATTGGTGGAAAGAAAGCAGAGGACACCCATGTTCCTGTCACCTAGGACTGGAATGAAATCAGGAAGTGATCCACCTGTTCCTGGACAGAATGACTGCTTCCTTGGTGTTCTCTCAGAAGTCCCTCTCTCGTTCTTTTGTAGCCTCCTCCACCCCTCTCCCATTCACTCACTAGGGTGTCCCTTTCCCTGCATCTTCTATAACCCTCTCCCCTCCTCTTCCCAAAGGAGTTCATCAGAAGCTAATTAGGTTTGTTCTGCTGCTTCACTCAGTATTTGGAGCACAGCTGATAGGGAAGGTGATGGGGATGTGGGATGATCATGGGCTTTGGTAATAATCAGCTGGACACCCTCAGAGGACATCACTGTCATTTGAAACCCTAGTCATCATGTGCCAAGCACGGGATAGGACACAGGAAGGCACTAATCAGCTCACAGCTTCCTTAAAGAGAAACTGAGGCCAGGGATGCTTGCTCCTTGGCAAGTGAGCTGCACAAGATAGAGTTGTGGCTGCAAACACAGCTCTTGGAGCTAGAGGCCAAGTTTACAGCATTTGATTCTGGGCAGGTGGCCTCCCGTTCACAGCCTCAGTGTTGTCTCTTGAAAATGGACTGAGTATTGATTGCACACCTATCAGGACGGTTGTGTAGACTAGAGAAATAATGCATGGAAAGCATATAACTGCATCTGTGGACTGTGGCCAGGGGCCCTGCCATGTCTGTGTTGTAAACACTCCTCACACTTGATTTTGTAAGCACAAGCATCAGCTGTTTGATTTCAGACAACAGCACTCTGGTAGAATGAAGGCAGGGTGGGAGGGGGTCACATCCTATAATCATTCCCACTGTGTAAGTAAAGAACACTGAGGCTCTGGAAGGTTAAGGACAGAAGCTAGGTATGGAATACTTAACGTGACTCTCCACAATTTTACACGAGTTTTTGAAATTGATAATTAGCACAATTTTAACTCCAGTGACATGCAATTAGTTGTCAAGATGATTCCTCCATGGAGAACTCTAATCATTTTGTGTCTGAGAGCTGAAAATGAAGGTGCTTACTATAAGTCCATGGGCTATGATGTTTTTAGACACTCCTTTTTTTTCTATTCAAACAATTATCAAACTCATTTAGCCAAATTGACTTAAAAGAGCAGTCTCCCACTCATTATATACACCTCTCCAGTTTTCTCTGCAGCATTTATCACCTCCAACATCTATAGCCCTTTTTTAAGTCTGTTACCTCCCCTCAGCAATATCACTTGCTGTGATGTCTCCTGAGACTAGAATGGCACTCAACATTTAGTATGCTTTGCAAAATCATAAGGTGTCTTGCAAAACAGGAGGTCTGCTATTTTTATTATTCTTGCCAAGTGTTCAGATTGATTAAAAACAAAATGTTACAGTAAGGGAGACACCATTCCCTCAAATATTTGGCAAACACAACTCCCTTCAGGACAGGAAGAGATGGCTCAGTGTTTAGGAGCGCTTGTTGCTGTTATGGCAAAAGACCAGAGTTTGGTTCCCAGCACCCACACAGGGTGGTTCAGAGGCACCTGTAACTCCAGCTCAACCAGATCTCATGCCCTTTTCAGACCTCCAAGGCACACGCATGTGCACACACGAGCGTCTGTGTACACACACAGGTACACAGGAAAGAAAAAGAATAAATAATTTTAAAAAGACTTGCTTAAGTATCAGGGACAATGTGATGGATGTTAAAGGAATGAGGAATACAGGGCCTGGTGATGCAAACTGTAATCCCAATCACTCTGGAAGCTGACACAAGGGAATGGGATCATGACAACTCTGGACTACAGAGTGAGTTCAGTGCCAGCCTAGGTTACTTAGTGACAAAAATAAAAACAAAAAATGTTTAAAGAATCTGAGGTTTGTGGTTGATGTAGCCTTGTAGTAGGACACTTGTGTCACATATATAAGACCCTGAGATCAATTCCTCTTGCCACAAAAAGAGATCATTTTTCAAGAGTCTTAATGAACCTTCTTATCAGCATTTGATGGCAAGCTAACTTTAAAAAATCAGTAGTAAAAGAAAAGTTCAAGGGCAAATGAGCTTTAGCCTTTTTCAATGAACTGGCATTGACTTTTTTATCCAGCTACTTTTCTACCACAAAAGGTCCTTTTCTGAATCTTCGTTTTGATGATCTTTCAGATTATAAAATCAATATGTTTCACTGTAGAAAATTCCAAATACCATAAAAAATATAAAATATATGAAAAATTCTCCTTAATCCCTCCAATGTATTCTATTTCTGTCCTAATCTTTTGCTGTGTGTGAATGCCTTCTATGGGATTTTCTTCTACAAAATAAGTATCATGCACAGATCTATAGCCTGTGTTATTTTTCTAAAATAATCAGGATTCTTTTTAAATTTAACATTATACTAAGAATCTGTATGTTATTAAAATTTTTGAAAAACATGATTTCACAGCTACATAATATTCCACTATAACTGCATAGCATAATTTGCTCACTCTGCCCTCTCTTATTGGTGGCCACATTGGAATTATGTCATATTTCATTATTATAATTAATACCTGCCTGAGTCTCTTCTGATGTCACCGAGCCCTGAGTCAGGCTTTGCTATGCTCCTGGGCAGTACCAGACCAGCTTGCAGATGGCTAAGCTCATGACGTTGCATACGACATCAGAGCTCTATGCTTTGGTTGGATTTGACCTTGTAGAGCAGTGGTTCTCAAACCTGTGGATCATGACCCCTGTGCAAACCCGTGTCTCTAAAAATATTTACATTATGATTCATAACAATAGCAAAATTTCAGTTATGAAGTAGCAACAAAAATAATTTTATGGCAGGGGGTCACCACAATATGAGGTATATTAAATGGTCACAGAATTAGGAAGGTTGAGAACCATTGCTATAGAAGAATAATTCTCGTAAATTAGGGCAAGTAGAGATTCAAAACCTCCAGCATATCTTGACCAATCCAGTACAGCACACAAGTGGCCAGATGTTGCCCAGAGAAGTAGAGGTGCTCACACACCCTATCTCTAATAATATCAGAACTCAGGCGCCCACCAGTGAGCTTCAAGGCCTCTTGCCCACCTCTGTGGCCATTGTCTTCTCCCACTCTTCCTCATGTCCACCGCCGAGTTCACTCTCTTGCCTTTAACCAC